TCTGACAAGCCTGCTTTATGTACGGCAGATTGTTGATTGAAAATACATTCATTGTCGTCTTTTACAATAATGTTCTTGAGCTGTACTGGGCTCTTGGTTTCCTCAAAATGTTTTAAGGAATCATGGACATAGAGATTAAATCCTACCAAACGTTTCACTTTAGTGGGTGAAGTTTGAAGCTGAAATTCATACCACTGATGCTTTGACTTAAGGGACTTCTTAATTGGACTGAGGTTGTGAATAAACCCATGGTCGTTTGCTGCAAGTAAACAATTAAGATGGTTAGAATATGCATAAGAGAATTATGTTTGATTGGCATGGTAATGTCAAATAATTTGGGGGGTTGGATATTTCAAGAAAATGACACATTGCAGGTAAAGCTTGAAATATAAAGGAGTCAGCATGTACTCATTATTATGAGTGAACAACAATAACCAAGAACAAAATTGCCTCTACCTTTCACAGATACAGTAGTCAGGTGCTAGGGGCTGAGTTGCTGCAAAATAACAGGGACACCAGTTGTCCCTGTTTAGTCTTAGACTACTTAAAGGGGCATGAATTCTGTATTTATAAGATAAAATAATTATATTCAGTACTTACAATAAGTCCTTTTTGCTTGCCATCGTCTGCAACAAAAATGTTTTACAAATTAAAAATACATCACACATAGATACATATTTTATTGACTTTCCTCCAGAGGCTTTTCAAAGACAATAATTAAATCAAGTCAAACAAAGAAAAACAGGGGAACACAATAATTGGTATTTGGATGTCTTGTTTAGCTTTTTGGAGAACATGCTTACTGTATTAAGTCAAAGTTACTCATGATGACCATTTTTAGAAGCATTTAGAGATAAAGAATCAAGTCTCTTTTCTTCAATTAACCTATATTTCAAAAAATTTGATTTTTGTAAGCTTGCAACCTTTCAAATGTCATTGGCTCAATTATGAGATCTTGGAGTCTTTTTACTCTACTAAGAGCCACATATGTCATACCAGGTGAATTCTCTGAAGGGCCGAGATCTATCCATGCTTTTTAAGAGTCAGACCTTGGCTTTTTGTGAATAGTCATAGCCCATGCTAGCTTTAAAGGAAGTTGTTGTCTTTCACATGTGTGACCTATGTTTTGTGAAATTTGGGTTATTGGACAAATTGGAACGCATCTTGGAACACTTGCAGTTAAAGAAGGTCCATTATATTGTTCATCAAACTGTACAAGAACACAAATAGGCAGGGCTGGAGGAGTTTGCCCATCAGCATATACAAAATCTAATACAGTTCCTAGTGCACCATTACAAAGACCAACTTCTGTCCACATGTTCATAGTGAGCATAACTCTAGCACCTTTAGCTAAATATATGACAGGTTCTAATCCTCCCATTTCATCAGAGCTAAGTGTTTGAGCACCACCAGAATGACGGGCTTTGATTGTTGCTATTGGCTGGTTTAGATTTTTAATTTGATCAAGTTCATTTCTGCAACTTTTGCCTTCAGATAGGATAGCCTTACAGATGATGTTAGGAATTCTTCAATATTTGTTACATTTTCAGGAGTTCTAGATAACAATGTCTGCCAATCTGCCAAAGTGGATTCTCCATTTCGTGCTCTAATGAGGAGATCTCTAAAGCAGCTGTGGGCATTAGTTTTGCCATCAACTCTATGATTCACTGACAATGTGACGACTTGTTTGAACTCTTTATATATGAGGTGACCCTGAATCTGTTTTTCTGATTTTGGCAAAGAATGGAAAAGTGGTTTATCACCAACTGGGGATAACTGTGCTATATCACCGACCAGAATAACAGAAAGACCACCAAAAGCTTGATCAGCTAAACCTGTAGCTTGCCTGCATCTACAATCTATCCACCCAAATAAGCTCTGGCCAACAAATGAATATTCGTCTATAATCAAATACTGAATGTTTTGTAAATTAGTTTGAAGTTGTTGCAAAGCTATTCCTTTCAATTGAAGAGTCTTTTTGAACCAATTGGTAGTTTGAGGAAAGAATGCAGTGTTACACCCTTGACATTAAAAGAGGCCTTTCCAGTATATGCTAGTACTTGACATTTTTCCTTAAGAACATTTCTTACAGCATCAATAACATAGCTTTTTCCTGAACCTGCAATTCCTTTAACAAGTAGATGCAAAGGCAGTTCATTACTGCTGTTGAAGTGATTTAGAATGATATGGTATGCCAACAATTGATCGCTACTAAAACTTGAAATATCTATTACTCTTGATGATATGTGCCAACTTGGTTCATTTTTATTTTTCTGAGTATTTAACCAAGAAGTAACAGAAAGTAGATCAACATCGTCAAAATGTTCACTAACATTGTGCCAATATCCTTCAGGAGCTAACGTCGAGTTATATTCAGTATCTGTGCTCAACTCCTGTAAATTCAGTTCTGACATAAACATCCACTCTTCCTTTTCTTCCTCTATAATTTCCATGTTTTCATTTTCATTTTCCAGATTAATGGCTGCTTTTAAGCTGCTCAATTGCAATTCCCAGTCAGGAACACTGTTCTTCCCACAATCACTACACAAAAAGTTCATCCAACATGCTTTATAAGTTTCATCACACTGTTCAAGATTGTCCCATGCATTGTCTGCTACATGTTGCCAAGGTTTATATTTTAGCAGTTGATATTTACAGAACAGCCCATACTGCTGATTTTGAGGATTTGAAGAAAATTTGGGATAAGTTTTAACTATTACAGCTTGCTTCCTTTTCTCCAGTTTTGAGTTTTTGCTTACAAATGTGGAGGTAAATTGCAAAAATTATATGTCAGTATGTCTGGAAATGTCTTAATAAACTTCTCTCGTTCAGCATAAATATCCAACATGGATGGGATTGTACAAAAATCCTTATTTTTGGACACCTGTACTCTTCGTGAACCATCAAGAGATGTATTTATTACTTCATGTGTTGCACTTACACATTTGAGTGAGAGTAAATGATGCATAACTTCTTGGATTGAATAATCTCGTTGTCCGACACTTTTGATCATAATTTGCTTCAAAATGTTATGAATGTCACTTTCGTCCGATGCTTTACTAATTACATTGGTGAATGCATTATTTAGAACTGAAGAAGCTTTTTCTCCTTTTGATGTGTATTTCACAAGATATTCCAAACATGCCACATAATCTATAATAATTTGAATATCACAATTTGCCCTCCATCCTTGGAGCTGCAGTGGTTGGTGACGATTTAATCTTGAATCATTTCGCTTAGTAACAATGGTTGCTCTATACTTGGTTTGGCCTGATTTAGTGTTTATTGGTTCAAAATCTATTCTTGTCTTTGGGCAATTTTCAAAAGGAAATTTGAATCTACAGGCTAATTCATTTTTGCTAGTTTCCCTTAGACAATACTTAGTACTGCACATTGTATGTCTCTCAACAGAGTTTAATAAATTCACATAGTCTTCCTCTTTTTGTTTGCCATTCAAAGACAGATACTGGGTTTGACATGGATGAGAATCTGGTTTGGACCACCCTTCTTCTGGGGAACATGGATTCCAAGTTGTTAGTATAAAGTCAACATACTGACAAACAACAGACTCTGCTTGTATACCTTGATTTATCTTAGTCTCCAGTTCTAATATTTCTTCTTCTGACAAATTTCCTTTGTTCTCATTGATATGCTTTGATGCTAAAAAACCTTGCAATGCAATTTCTGTCAGTTCAAGAAAGTCCTGGATCATTTTTCAATTTTGCAACTCCATGACAATGAATTGAACCTCTCTGAACTGCATACTCGTATCTGTACCAATGCCAAGAAGCCCCTAATGACTCTTTTAACCAAAACTTGACAAAACGATCTGTTCGCTCAGTAAAAAACCAATCCAAGATATGTGGATTTTGAAGAACATTTTGCTGCCTGATTGCTGGTTGAAGTGTTTCAGAGTGAGGGTCACAAAAGAGTTCATGAAATTCAGGCCAATGGTACTCAGCACAAGATAAAGTAAAAAATATAGTAGGCGGTCCTACTTGAGCAATGGTTGCTCATAAATCCTCTTTAGCTTTGTGCCAATAGCTATTGCTACCAGTAACATTTTAGCATAATGCATAAGTTTTGACATTAAAGTAGAATACGTATTTGTTTGAAGCATTTGTTGAAGTTGTTCTACAGTTAACTTAGCTTCACCAGGGTTTTGCTTTAAAAAAAATATTTCCCTGACTAAGGAGTCTGTGCCTCTGAATCATGTTGAATGCCCAATAAGCAAACCGTGGGTGACTTGCAAACCTATAAGCCCATTTACCATTATTATATTCAGCAAATTTAATCAAATGTTTTATTTTATCTCCAAGGGTCACATCACGCATTGTAGCACTGTTAGTAGGATCTCCTTTACCATCTGGGAACAAAGTAGGAAATGCCATAGTAGCTAAATATTCAATTTTAAACTCATTGAGAGGACTTGAATTCCTATTAGGCCAATTGATTTTACTGTTTTGTAATAACTCATCTTTTATCAGCTGCTTCTGTGGCTTTAGTTGTACAGGGTTAAGAATTGTGCTACTCAATTCTGTGTCTTCATTGAAAGGTATTTCATCAAGAGGACCTCTGTCTGGATCAATTTCATCATCTTTACTGTTCTCAGTACAATAAATTTTACGCAGCTCAGTGGGAATGCCATCAGAAGGCAAGAAAGCCAACAATTCATAATCAATAGTGATATCCTTATATACAGGGTTATGTTGAACTAACCAGTGCAGAGCACAGCTGACCTTTTCACGTCTCACAGTGAGATCTTTATAAGTATTATCTTTGCCTTTGACTGACACAACTATTACTGGCATTTCACTTAGGTTTCTTGGCAATGAATTGGCTAACTCTTGGATATCTTGAGAGAAGTTAATACAATGACCTTTATATGCTTTTTTGTCCACCTGGTTTTGTATAAACAGAAATTACTGGGAAAACACGAGCTATTAACATTTCCTCTAATTGCGTTAAACCTTGCAATTCATTTGGGACTTGTGAAGGAATCATTCCATTCTGAGATGAAAATTTTTCACTCCATTCTTGTCACGTGAACATCTTGAACACATATAAGGAGATCTCTTTTTGCCTTTTGATGATAATGGCCATGCCTCATGGCAAACTTCACACATATAAATTTTGAATTTAAGTGAATTATGAAAGTCTTCCATGTTTTTGATAGCCCACTTCTGTACATGAATTGGTCCAGTGTTTATACTGTCAAATTGAGATAAATATGCTTCTTTGTCAACATTATGCAGTGGTTTATCTACTTTTTGCCATGCTGTAAATTTTCCTACTGGTTTAATTACATCAAATGTATTGTCTTCCTTTTTCTGTCTAGAGTTCCACTTAAATTGCACAGTTTGTTTTATCAATTGTGCTTGCTTTTCCTCCCCTGTCTCATAATCCTTTATTTTCCTTCTGTATGCCCTCATATATTCTTTTTGGTTTTTTTGTCTAGAAAGTTTTTCACTCTCTGTCTCTTTGGCTTTTTTAGCTGTAAATTTTCCTACTGGTTTAATTACATCAAATGTATTGTCTTCCTTTTTCTGTCTAGAGTTCCACTTTTGCACATTTTGTTTTATCAATCGTGCTTGCTTCTCCTCCCCTGTCTCATAATCCTTTATTTTCCTTCTGTATGCCCTCATATATTCTTTTTGCTTTTTTTGTCTAGAAAGTTTTTCACTCTCTGTCTCTTTGGCTTTTTTAGCAATTTTGTAATTCTTCAAATGTGGATTTACTACATTTAAGTTCAGCTTTCTTTTTCTATCTATCAATTTGTCAGTATTTGTTTCTGGTCTTTGTCGTTTTCTGGGTGTGCAAACTTCTTTCCCAAAATCATCACAGGCTTGGCGTTCTTTATCCTCTAATTTTGAATAAGAATGGTCTGGCATTAATGTACAGGAATCAATGCCTTGATGTATATTAATAATGTTATCAACAGAGCTTTCATAAACAGCAAAATACCATCCATTGGCGTAAACATTCAAAATATCTTGAAATGTAGCATATTGCTGAACTGCACTACAGAGATCATCATAATAAAACCAATAACGACCATTGTTTATAGCAATAGTGAAATGGTGGCTTGCACACCGCACAACAGCTTTTAATAAGTAAAATGTACCTAAGAGTTCCATACTTGCTGGTAGAACAGTTTGACCAAAAGAAATTGATGATAATTCAATGTGTAAAAATTTTGGCATGGTAACAAAATGTTGCAAACCTGAAATATCACCAGAATGCCTTTGACATGCATCACAAAAAAGTGGGCTGCTATTAGGCAAAGCAGCTTCTGAAACACAGTTTTCAAATTCAGTGGGCAGAATATTTGGACAAGTAATATACAAGACAATAGTGCTAGTAGTTTTCAATATTTGATTGTTACACAGGGTGCAGCAAGTCTGATTACATTGTTGAATAAGAAATAATGATTTCAAATCACTGGTTAAATCCCCAAATGCTTGCATGGTAAATATGTCACTAAAAACAGCATTTGCAGTCATTGAAGAAAATGATGGGCAACGACCTCTGATCAGTGACCATATAGGCTCTCGCACAACATCAACAGCACCAACAATTGCCCTTTGATTGCACGCCTCAGAGATAACTTGAAAAAAATCATTGCATGTAATGTTTTGAAGATGATTGCGAAAAACAAAATAACATAGCTCAAGAAAGCAATCAACTGCACAAGAAAACTTCCCTACGTTGGTCAAACAATAATTACGAAAGTGATCTCTTACATTTGATCCTTCACACATGTATGTAGAATTACTATCAGTGCTATTACATATTGCATTGCGTTTTTCTTCCAACACTTCTGAATTTATGTTCCCATTCACAATGTGTGCCTCCTTGTTTGAAATAACGAAGGGATTAAAACTACCATTAGAAGGATAAGCTATTCGCCTTGACAAGTATCTCCCCCTAAATCTGAAATAGATCATGCTGCATTTTGGGCACACACTCCCCAATTCTAACAGATTATTGTGGGCAGTACGATTGGGAAAGAGTAGCAACATAAACAATAGCCACATCATTTTCAAACTTTTGTGCGGTTTATTGCTCTAGGTGTACCTTGTATTTTAGTGGGCAAAAAGTCTGTGCTTCAAAAATTCGTGATACGCTTGATATTAATAACAGTCGAAAGAATTGATCGAGCTGACAGTTGATTATTGCAGCTTGCTCGCTCTCCAATGCACTTCCGCCGCGTTAGGTTTCCTTTGAATTTAACTCAAGCTTAAGTTAAGTTGAATCTCAGTTGCTTCGATTGTTTTCAGCTTGTTTGTGGGGTGACAAAGTTGGTTCAGTGGCCAATGACGAGTGCACTCTTTCGTGGCTAGCTCGCCGCTAGTTTGCTACAACTTTAATTGCTTTCTGCTCGCTATTAATGGTGACAAAGTTGCCTCACTGGCCACTAGTTTGCTAAAACTATCGTTTGTTTTGTTTGAATACAGTTTCAAGCGGTTTCTCAGTTTCTTTGATTGCTTTATGCCTGCTGGCGTTGTCTAACTGCTCGCTATTAATGGTGACAAAGTTGCCTCACTGGCCACTAGTTTGCTAAAACTATCGTTTGTTTTGTTTGAATACAGTTTCAAGCGGTTTCTCACTTTCTTTGATTGCTTTATGCCTGCTGGCGTTGTCTAGATTTGGCACCCTTGCCGACTTTGGCACTCTCACGTGTGGCTCGTTCGCCGCCGCTAGTTTGCTACAACTTTGATTGCTTTCTGCTCGCTAATGGTGTCAAAGTTGGCTTACTGGCCGCTAGTTTGCTACGATTATCGTTTGTTTGAGCTTTGTTTTGTTTAATTCGGTGGTTTCTCAGTTTCTTTGATTGCTCTATGCCTGCTGGCGTTGTCTACATTTGGCACGCTTGCCGACTTTGACACACTCGTCAACTTGGCACACTGGCCGACTTTGGCACACTGGCCGGTTACTGAGCTTGCTAACTCGATAATTATACCACAAAGGCACTTAACTTAAGTGCACTCACGCAGAATTGGAAATAAAACTTACAAAGGTAGGTGAAAAAAATACAATTTTCTTACCTCAAACTTGCTCGCTCCTCCGCTCGATAAATGACAAAGCTGCTAAGCGTCCACGATAAGCACCATGTGGACTTGACGTCACGATCTTTGCGCGCTACCATTGGTCCGTTGCAAAACAAAGCCTATTCACATTACGTCATTGGAATCTCAGGAATCTTACCTTACAGACATCTTACAATCACTCGAGATTTTTTCCGCCTGTACAATACTCTCGCACGGCTCTATAATGCTGCCGCCTCGCCAGCCTCGCGTCTTCGCTCGGCTGGCTCGTTGGCAATTAGGCGGAAGAGGAGGGCATAATTAAAAGGCGAAATCTGAAGGAAATTGTTGGAAAGATCTTAGACAACAATTAAATATTTCACAGGAATGAAATGTTAAGTTTGAATCTAAATAATTACAGAAACAATTGTTTTTCTAACTAGAAAGTTGGTAAATTTTGAGGCGGTAATGAAATAAAGGATGTATTTTTCGTCTTGTCATTAGCGTGGGACAAGTTCAAAATTTTCCATTTTTCGCGCAGTATTTACTGTTACGACGCTTACAACATCGCTTATGGGTAGTTCCTCATCTGCAATTAGAAGTTTTTCCTTACTTTAACACCTGTAGCAAGGAAAAAAGAAGCTGTATTGCTTGATTTTGCCTGGATCGGACTGCGTATTTTTCTGTATATATCAGATCATATCATGTTGACGAAACATAAATGTTACAGAAGGCATCAATATTTTGAAGGGGGGGGGGGAAGCTGTATCAAAGCAAGCGGTACACGTACATGACCTCGAATATATGCGAATATATCGGATCTGACGCCGATTCTGATAAAAAATAAATGAATAAAGAGTCTTACAGTAGCATTGCAAAACGACGGTGGTCGCAGATCATTAGCTCAGTGTCTTTCCCAGTCCAACCCATCCTAAAAAGTAACTCTTGCATGTATAGTATGCCTATGTTTTTGACATTTTCTTTTTTTGATGATTTTTCCCTCCTCAGGCAAGGAAATGACTAGCAGTAACGCCTGCCCCAATCAAGATGCTGGAGTAAGTGGTACTGGAAAGCCTCATGAGCCCTACTTGGTAAGTGAAATAATTATGGTCATGGATTGAGTGTTCATTTGTCAAAATTTTAAATAAGATATTATCTGGTTATGAGAAAATCAGCTGTATTAATTTGTCTGCTATTTCTGGTGGAATAGGAATTTGGAATCTTAGCTCTTTGTAGGGGAACAGCAAAACTACTCTCTACCATATTGATAATTTTCTTTTTACCAGTACATGTCTGTAGGGTATATGGGAGTTGTTTTGGCTTATCTCTGATGCATTGTTAACATTTTGTTTGCCAGGCTCGTGGGAATCGAGATAAGAAACTGCGGACAGCAGAACAAAAAAGCTCCACCCTGGCAAGTACAACTGGCGGATTAGCAGACGCCTGTAAACAAGTGGCCGCAGAGAAGGAAAAGAAGAATGAAGACATGAATATGTCCGCTGCATCGAAGGAAGCGATTGGCCCGAAAGAAAATCGCGCAGTATTTACTGATACGACGCTTTCAACATCGCTTATTATAGGTAGTTCCTTATTTTGCACTCAGAATTTTTTCTTACTTTAACGCTAGTGGCCTGGAGAAAAACGCTGTATTTCTTGATTTTGCCTGAACCGGGATACATATTTTTCTGTATATAGATTTTATCATGCTGACGAGGCCAAAAGCGGAAATTACGACATAAATGTTACATCGACACGACGGCGGTGGCAGATAGTGAAAATTCAGCGTATTCCACAGTCCAACCCACCCTAAAAAATAACTCCTGCATGTATAACATGCCTATTTTTGTGACATTTTTTGTCTTTTTGATAATTATTCCTTTCCCAGGCAAGGAGAGAACTGGCAGGAACGCTAGTCTCATTCAACATGATAGAATGCCTATCAACCCAGCTCCTGGAGCAGCTGGTAGGAATGGCAAACCTCCTAAGCCCAACTCGGTAAGTGAAATATGGATTGATTGTTCATTTCACAAAATTTAAAATTAGATAGTATCTGGTTCTGGGGAAATCAGCTGTATTAATTTGACCATTGTTTCCGGTTGAATACGAATTTGAAATGGTGGCTCTTTGTAGGGGTACAGCAAAACTACTCTCTACCATACTGATAATTCTTTTTACCAGTACATGTCTGTAGGGTATATGGGATTTGTTTTGGCTTATCTCTGATGCATTGTTAACATCTTGTTTGCCAGGCTCGCGGGAATCGAGATAAGAAACTGCGGAAAGCAGTACAGACAAGTTCCACCCTGGCAAGTACAACTGGCGGATTTGCAGAGACCTGTAAACAAGTGGCCGCAGAGAAGGAAAAGAAGAATAAAGACATGAATATGTCCGCCGCATCGAAGAAAGTGTTTACGAGCGGAAAAAAGACTTAGGATTTGTTCCATTCTGTTTCCACACTGACACCTTGTAATAAAAAAAATCGGTAACGCAGCAATTTTTTTCACGATGTTGAATAGATGAAATAGAGAGCACAACTTGTATAATTGGTTTCACCAAAAGGAACAGTTATCAGCTTTGTAACTGTCACTGATAAACGTAAGAGATACATGCGCGAATGCTAATCTTGTAAATGCGAATGTTGGGGAATTTAGAGAAGTAAATAATTGATAATAATTGTTTATCATAATTAATTATTTATAATAACAACAGTTGATAATGATGAATGATTGTTGACATTAGACGAACAAAATCTGAGGGCTATGAATAAAGCTTAGAAAATTGCATTTAGTGATAGACTCATTCGTATAAAACGAACACAAATTCACTCTAATAGGCGTTTGAAAACAAAATGGGTGCTAAATTTAGCCTTGTTCTACTCCACATGCAATTTTTTCGTTATTCTACAAGGTATTGTCAGTAAATTTGGCGGCCATCGAGAATAAATTAGAGCTGTGTTATCACGACTTTTTTGCCATCCCCTAGATAGGAAAAAATTGGGGAAATTGGGACTGAGAGCGTTGGATGAGGACAATTGACAGCTTTTTTTGGCCACCGTTTCTTCAACACAGGGTTGTATACTTAGATCTTCAGTTTTGCGTTTGAAAATTTGG